AGTCTCATGGACATTTTCAGTGTAATTATTTTAAACCCTGATTAAACCTGGTATCTGTGTTCATTCCACCGAGGACAGCTGAGCGAACCACTTCAGGGGACGGTTTACTTCTGTCTCAGAGGTCTTGATGTTTTAGCGTATTTCCCAGGTTTCTTGGTCGACCCGCTGAGTAAACAGCATTTAACAGGATTGGCTGTTTTTATTTGAAGCTGCTTGGCTTCTCTATGCATGTTGAGCTTATTTGGGTTTTACTGAGACAGTCTCTGTTTCCTCAGAGAGGGAGTGTGACCTGGACAAACACTGCGGCGTCCTGGACCCTGACAGGAAGAAGGTCTGCACTCGCCTCCTCACCTGCAACGTAAGTAGCTACATCCCCTCTGCCCGCCGGGATCCGCATCCGCCCGCTGGAACATCTTAGCCGTTCAGATCCAGCTGCTCTGTTCATGGTTTCAAAAGCTGGAAAACAAATTGCTTCATGACACCGAAGAACTCTGCAGAATCTGGTCTTTTATTAGTTTGACAGAAAGTGGCAATGAAGAAAACATCAACGCCTGGTAGAGCTGAACATCAGATAAAACCGCTTCAACCAGTGGGGTTAAAGAGTCACGCTAAAACTCCAGCAATAGATGACGGACGGACGGCTCAGGGAGAAAGTTCTGGTTCAGTTTTAAGCAGGGCCAGGTTCTAGAACCAAACATGGACGTCCATCTGGGCAAGGAGAGTGGAAGAGCTGCCTGGATCCGCCACTCGGGTGGAGGGATCGGTGGGCAGGAAACCATCGGAAGGTCGTCTAAAGACGTGCAGGACGACACGGCGAGCAGGAGGCGTAACTGTTGGGGCCAACATGGCGTCCAACACAAAGCATTCTCTGCCTTACTGTAATAAACGGCGTAATCTCTGCGCTGCTGGGATTACCCCGGCCATGTCTGAACCTCTTTCCTGTTCATTACATAGTGCTTCAGCCATTTTAAATGACAGTCCGAACGTCCGCTGGATGATACAGTGGACTGGAAATATCCCACAATGCACCTTGGCAATGAGTGATCATCCATGTTTACTAGACAAGCAGACATATCCCAGAATGCTTTTTGACAGCTCTCCTCTCAAAGTATCATGGGATTTGTAACGACAAAAAACAAAGATGGCGCAGGGTTGATTGACCAACCGGTAGTGAAAAGTAGTGATCATCTGTCCGAACGGTCGGTTAACTGAGTTCACTATAAAGTTCACTATGTAGTCCCCGCTCTATATAGTGATTTAGGGGTTAGGGCGGACGGTCAGACTCAGCCGCTGTGTTTTAGGAGCTTGGCGGTCCTGGAATCTTCGCCGCCGTCAGTCTCGCTCTGAGACTTGTCAGTAAACGGAGTTGTGTCCTTCTCCTCAGATCCACTCCATCCACCAGCGCAGGAAGGTGCTGGGCCGCAGCAAGAACTTCGACCTGCTGGTTGCAGAACTTAAGATGAGGGTGAGGGAGAAGGCCCTGGATGGAGGCTTCTCTACCGGAGGGTCCCCCAGTCCGGAGGCCCCGAGGGAGCAGGCCGGCGTTCCTCACTGCAGGAGACCCCTGGCCAGCCTTCCTGCTTTCAGGTGTGACATCATTGCGCCTGCAGTCATGTAGAAGGGTGTGTTGGCTAATCAGCAACCAACTGGCCCTCAGGTCAGGCTAGCAGCACTAGGAGCTAAGCTCAGTGGGGTTTGGTTCCCGCTCCAGGACTGCCAGGGAGTCAGAGTGGCTTAGAACCAGA